TCTCTCTCTCTCTCTCTCTCTCTCTCTCTCTCTCTCTCTCTCTCTCTCTCTCTCAAAGTAACTGCACTCCATGGGACTTCTAGAGCGGGCTCTCTTTCCTGATACTCGCTTCTTCTTGTGTGCTGGCCGTGCCCAAAAACTAGCTTTGGAAGTGGAGACAGGCATGGAGAGAGGAAGGAAAAGGAACCAAGCTCTCCGCTTGTATCCCAAGTGTCCCCAAATGTTCCATTGCATATCATTTGTTTGTTTGTTTGTTTTTATTTGAAGAAAAACATTTCAAACCTCCAAATCTCCACCTATCTTAAGAGCTAAATAGGGTGGGTGGGCAGGTTGTATTTTTCATCTGAAAGTTTTCAGTGGATCCAAAAAAACGGTTTTCCTAGCTGTGATTTGCTTTCTTTGCTGTCAACGTTTAATATCAATATTAACACAATGTGTAGTCTAAAACTAGTTCCTTTGTAGTTTGCATGGGATGTGAATGCTGTCTCGACGTGCCCAGATCTAGAAAACTCGTTTTACTACTGCATGAGCATCAAATCAGATGTCGGAAAATACATATTTTTGTGATAATTTGGTGAAACTGAGCACCTACAGTCTCTGGTTGCAGTAGTGTGTTGAATGATTTTTTTTCCTTCTCTTTTTATACATTTTTCTATATATTTGGAGCTCCAAGCTTCTTAGTAGTATGGGCTGACTATTATTGAGTACTTTGCTCTCCTATCGCATGGCCTTGGTTAAGTGTTAGAAGATGGACCTAGGCTGTTTTTATTAGTGTTTGGCTTTGTAATAACTGTGCATGCTTGGCTTCCGGCCTCATACCCAGCTTTATTCTCTACATACCAGTCTTGAATAGCTACAGTGCTCAACCGAATTTTGGCGCACCCGCTTCCCCGGCAGGCTCCAACCCAGCCCGGCCCGGAGGGTTCCCGGGGGCAAACAGCCCTGGTCCGGTTGCAGACCTCTACGGTACAGCCAGTCAAGACTCTGGTGTTGGTAACTACATAAGTGCTGCCAGCCCCCAGCCTGGCTCCGGCTTTGGGCATGGAATTGCTGTAAGTAGCCCTCTTTATTCACCCTTTTCTTCTCCTGCAGGGTCTTGGGCTCTGGAATGAGCAGAGTTGGTTGGCAGTGTGTGGTTGTCACCTTTGCTGTCCAGCGGTGTCATACGCGACTGGCTCCATTTACTAACAAGCTTTTTAAAAGGGCACCCTGCGAGGCCTTGCTTGTGACGTGGAAGCCAAACTGAATTTGTGTGTGCGGGTCTTCGCCTACACCAGCCTTCTCGATGGGTTCCACAAAATGCAAGCATCGCATTTGGAGGGCAAGAGAAAACTATTCCTCTTAACCAGCAAGTACAGTGAAATCTCATTAGCCATGCCCCCATATTCCGCTCTCTTGCCAGATAGTGTTTGGTCCCAGATGGTTCCCAGAGTAAGGACTCTGGATGCAGAGAGGCCTTGTGTTCAAATCAAGATCTAATCCGCGTTTAGATGCTGAGCCAGGCTGTATAGCGTTGCGGTGGGGGCGGGCGGAGGGGAATGGCCACGTGAATCCAATGTACAAAGAGTGGTTACTTTTAATCTGAGCTGTTAGCAAGTTTTCTACACAATCTTTTTCAAGCAGGTAGAAGTTGTTTTAATATTAATGTGGTGTGATTACTAATTTGGGAGCCGAAAATTACTAATCTGGGAGTGGAAATTTTGCTTAACCAATTGCATGCAAGGATTGTTTCCTCCAGTTCTACTATGTTGAAACTGTGTGTGTTAGCATGAATTCCTGACACTGTGTAACTGCCAGCTAACCTCATCATTTTAAGCCTGATCTGGAGAAGCTCGTATATGCTGGAGGTAATGGTAAAACCCAACAGAGAATGTTCCATGGTTTAAGTTATTTTACTGCATTAAGAAAAATAAAGGTAAAGTCCCAGTATTAGATCCACTGAATTCTTGATCTGTTCCCTTCCTTAATGTCACCTGAATAACTTGGAAAACCCATGGATTGGCTGTTTGGTGGAATACGGATGATTATTCTGTTAAGGCCATCTATCACCATTTAGGACAGCCCTCATTTCCGTTTTCTGCCTAAAGAAAAAGATCGGGTTCTTAAAAGGGTGTGGGCTACTGACCTTTGCCACAGACCAGTTCCCACAGAGTAACTCACTAAGGTGCTCTGGCGTGGCCTTTTCAATGATTGGTGTGGACCTGCGTGCTGCTGGCTCTTTAATCTCCTGTTCAGTCATGTTCCATGAAAGTTGGCTGCCTTTCAGATATGTTTCGCACCCGCTATTTACTAACAGTCGCTTAAGAAACGCCACTCCAAATTTACTTTTCAGACCTGGTCCTGATGGATCTGCAGAGGAGCTGACGGGGGCAGATGGTATCAGTATTCATGCTGGCAACACACAAACTAGAGACTTTTGATAATTTCATGCAAAGAAGTAAAAAAAAAAAATCACCTTTTCTGCCCATGATGACATTAACAATTGTACAATTTTAGGGCCCTTTGATTGCAACGGCTTTTACAAATGGATACCATTGAAACGTTACACAGGGTTGGTTGCCATCTCGCTTGGAGGTACTCTCTCTCGCCGTGGTTTATTTTTTGTTATGCTCCTTCATCCCTTCCTCCTTGTCTTTTAACCATCCTTTTCTTTGAAGTTTTTACAATCAGCTTTCTGGGATGGAAACGGGAAAGGGCTCCTGAAGTAATCTGGCAAATGGTGCTTACACGCCTGTCCCTTCTATGCAGCCGTGATGCTTCGAGCTCAGCGGAGTGCTGAGGGTGTTCCTCGGCCCGTTTTGGAAGAGCAGAGCTGTGTTTCGAGAAAACAACCACGACTGTGGCACAGTGGGCGTTGCTCAGACCCACAGAATGAAAAAGAGTGAAGCGACCTGTAAATTAAAAGCGGTTGCTTCCTGGATCCCTGCCCCACCTGTTTCCTACCCTTTCAACTGATCTGTTAATTGTCACATCGAAATTGGGGTCCTTTGCATATTTCCAGTTATAAATATTTACCCCAGAGAATAAAACTGCTCATAGAAAACAGTCAATGACCAGGTTAATAATAAAAATATTAAGTATTGCTGAAAGTGGACAAATACAATCAATGTAAATGTTGCTCTAAACATAATTATGTGCCTGGGCTAGAGCATGCACTCTAAATTCCAAATCAGTATATGGAATGAAGATCAAAATGGATGAAATTAAGAAAATGTGGCAATGCTATTTGTGGAGGGTTTTAATTAATGTCAGAGTTGGTCAGCAGTGAGCATGTGGTGAAGTGGCTCAGGTGACCCTGCTGTTTTTTAACCAGAAAAAAATCAGTGCTGTCATTTCCCCCCTCTAAGGTGTCATGTTGTGGAAATGACTTCTATTGCATCCCCAGAAACATGAAACAGCTCCCATGGTTCTCTGTTGCAATGCAGTTGTCCCATGAATTAGTCCACATGCTCCAGAGTACTTCGAGTTAACCCTTGACATTCGGGGCACATCTGGCTGAAGCGAGCCAAGTCCTCATCAGGCCACTGTCTGGATGGCAGCCTGCCCAGAATTACCCCATCAAGGCCAACAAGGGTTCCATGATGTAGGCAAGGCAAGGCAAGGCAAGACAGAAATGTGCCAGCACAGCCTGTGCTGTTGCTTGGCACAGCGGGAGGGATCCCGGCAACCAGCACCACCCTGCCCTTGCTTTTAGTGCATGCCAATCAGCATGTTAGTCGGGGAACACGAGTGGGGAACCCAGAGGTTATTCAAAATTAGGGTGCAGAACTGTTTGGACTCACGTAGGTGCCAGGATTTTGTGGGCAACATTCAACCGAGACAGAGCAAGCAGGTTTTGATATGATTGTGTTACTTTACACAGAAAATTAGTTGAACGTTAAAAAGATGTTTTGCTGCTAACGAGAGAACAGTGTTAACCAGATTAACTTTCTGCATTAATTCACCTCATGCTCACTGCAGCTGTCGCCGTCACTGCAGCCATTAGCAAGGCAAAACGCAGTGGCAATCTTGCGTGTGCTACTAATGCTTTCCTATAAAGCGGTGGTGCCTTTTTTTTGTTTTAAACAAATATTTTTGCCATGCTTTCTTGACTGCAATTCACGGGGACTCCAGTCCTACTCTTTCTAGCAAAGCTGGCAAGGTGGCTTGTCAGCCTTGTTGTCTAGCTGCTTCTCCTGCTGGATGTCCAGACATGGCCACCTTGGATGAGAAGTGGACAATGAAGGCAGCCAGAAAGTCCACTTCTAACCAAGCCAAAGCCTTTTGGCTATATTCTTTGGCATCACTGCAACGACAGTAGAACACGAGCAAGTGCTTTCGCACACACACTATCAGTAATTCTCACCACAAAGCTGCAGGGGACGCAGGTTGACAGGTGAGAGGTGCTAGGTGAGCTGAGTTTTGAGCCACGCATTTCCCGGCTCCTCACCCTCACCCCACACAGCCACTGAGATTTAGGACTCCTTTTCCACCAGCTCTCCCATGTCCCAGTCCCACACACAACTCACCTGTGACACTGTCTTGTGGGTGTTGCAGTCTCGCCCCGGTGGGAAAGGGAGCTGTAGAGTAAGGCAAGTGGAGTTTCCTGCATGCCTTGTCTTCCCCAAAACTGCCTGGCCGCAAAGAAAGCCAAAGCCTTGGGGTCCGGCGGGTGCAAATCTGGCAAAAGTTTTGAAAATAGTGCAGATCAGTTGAAAAGGGATGCATGAAGCATCCCTTTGGGAGTGGAGGCTTAATTTTGGAGAGCTGAAAGGAGAGCTAGGGTAGCGTAGTGGTTAAGAGTGCGGGGTGGGGACCCAGAGGATGCAGGCTCGAGTCCCCACTCTGCCATGAAGCCCCCTGGCTGGTGGCAGCCCAGTCACGGCCTCTCAGCCTGACCTACTTTACAGCGTAGCTGTGATGATGAAATGGAGAGGAGAAGAGCCGTGTAGGCCGCCTGGGGGAAAGGCAGGAGAGCACTGGGATGTAATCATGGTTTGAACCGTGTTTGCACAGCCCCTTGTGGGCTCTCTGTGTCACATACATGGGGCGCTGCACCCATGTGATGCCCGTTGCCGGAAAGAGTAATAACTCGAGAGCATTTTGGCAGGAACTCCTCCCCACGTCTGTGTCAGGACATAAATAAAAATGGTGGGCGCTCCTCTATATACAGACACAGCGGGGAGAGGTTCCCACCAAAACGTTCTCAAGCTGTTAAATCTTCCCGGCAACGTGCTCCTTGCGGGGGCAGCCCTGTGTGTGTGACTGCACAGATGACCACTCGAATGACCACAGATGACCGTTACAGGTAAGCAGCTTGCCTTTGTGTTCTGCCTGCTGAAGCCAGCCAGAAAAGCCCCAGAGTTTTCTGTCATGGCAGCGTTCAAGGAACCGCCAGTTATGTGGCTGAGGCACTGCGTGGGCACGGGCACTGTTTAAAGAGCCTTCCCGATGTGGCTTACAGGCCATTAACTCCACCAGTGAGCAGACCTGCATGCTCCTCCCCGCAAATGCGTTTTATTCGGTTTCATATGCCTTCTGTTTTTGCACAAACCTGCCCAGTAGCAGTTGCAGTGCCCGGGTTCAGACGTAATGATCCCAGTCTGAAGCCACCCACCTGTCCACACGCTCCCTCCTCCGCACTGCCTTCTTCCCTTCACTCAGCCACCTTCAGAACAGATCCTAGGGCAGAATCCTGACAGTGTCAGGCTTGCGCAGGATGATCTGCCCGTGCCAAGATCCTGCAGTCGCAGTGCCAGGATGCCAAAGGCCAACCCTACTAGCCCTTCACTAGCACTGCCCCACATTTCCCCACTGGTAACCTGGAGTTACCCCATGAATGCTACACCCAGCCAAGTGGTTGCCAGAGGGGCAGATCATCACCCTGAGCAGCAAGTGCATGCGGAAGCTTCCTGGATCGAGCCCAGAATCTCCAGGTAGGGCTACAGAAGGAGCTCTGGAGAGCTGCTGCTGCTGCTGCTGCTACCGCTACCAGCCACCAGCCAGTGCCAGCCATGTTGGAGTACATGGCCCGAAGGCCTATACTTAGGAGCAGTGCCCAGTAAAATCTCAGAAGCTGGTGAGGGTTGGTGGCAAATACTTACAGTTCCTAAGGTGAAGGGGAGTCCTGTGTCTGAAAGATTCCTTTGTCACTCCCTGTGAAGAGCAAAAACAGGGCGGCTTGAGCCATGCAGGAGTCGGCCAGCACAGGGCAGAGTTTGTAGAGGCAGCAGAATCCCACTCTCCTTGCTCCAAGATCTGGGTTGCTGTGGTGCATGTTTAGACATGCAGTTAGAGAACGTACAGGTCCCCTTTTCCTAGAAATGAACGGTGGCTTGTTGGGAAGCAAATGACATCCAAGTACACCACACACAGGAAGGGAGACACTCCAAAGAGCACTATTAAGACTATGCGTATGTCTGGACTGGGTGCAAAGACTGGTGTTTGGGGGTTTTTTATCCTCTGTCCCTCTCTCTCCCCCTCTCTCTCTCCTCTAGAGTATATCTGGATGTCCAGGAAAGACAGGACGAAGTTTCTGAAGGGTTCCATATTTAGGTGATACATCATCAGACTTTGAGCATAAAATCATCAATAACCCACACAAACTGGAGGTGGCACTCAGATGATTTGGGTTGTCCAAAATCTCTATCATCTCATGAACCTGCTGTACTATATAGAACAACAGCTTTTTAAAAAACAAACTTGTATATATATATAATCCATTTTGTTCGTTTTATTATTTTTCTTGATGTTTTTTTCCCCTTTGAAATCTATTTTAATCACTTTTTTTTGGTAGTATTTTGACATAGGCTTATAGTCACATAGATCTGCTACTTTGTGTATTTAGAAAAAGTCTAACCATAATAATATAACTGTTCCTATATTAAGGGTTTCTTTGCTATTTAATTCTCCCACTTTCTTTCTTTCTTTCTTTCTTTCTTTCTTTCTTTCTTTCTTTCTTTCTTTCTTTCTTACTTACTTACTTACTTACTTATGTATTTTGTCGCTTAAAGGAAACTGAGATGGTGACATGATTCTCAGTCGACTGGTACCAATTCTGAAGCTGAAAAAACTTTTTTCAGGTGGAATTTAGCACACACTGAATTTAGAAGTAGAGCAAGCAAGACGAGTGAGCAAAAGTACTATATTTTAAGCAGGATGTGGAATAGAAGGCTGGCTGAGTAGCAGGATCTCTAGCGGTTCTTTTTATTAGTTAACCTAATTATATCTATTTTCGGCAATAAGGTGAGGACAACACACTTTTGTGTGTCCTTTTTCTATAAGTGCATTTTTTTGTTGTTAAAAGAGGGGATAAGGTTTTTTGAAATTGTGAATTCTAAAAATAATAATGATGAAAATAATAATACTGTAAATACAATTCCATTAACTTACATATAAACTATTGAGAGAGAGAGAAATGCATAATATTTTTGTGACGGCATCAGACTAAGGCAGTTTCTGTACGGAACGGAAGGCAAAAGATAGAGTGGGTACACGGCCCTCCAGAACCGTCTCTTCTGCCCCTGCCTGGGCACGAACAGAGGATGAGCCGGGGAGACGGCAGCTCCCGCTCATCTTGCCGATGCTTGGGCAGGCACGGTTCCGGGGGGGGGGGGGTGGCACCCTCAGTGTAAACCTTTGAGATCAACTGCCAGAGCTGGTCCGTAGCAGTTCGATCAACGCTGGTTAGCTTGCTCTGTAGGTGTTAGACCTGATAAACTGTACTAGCATCATACCAGCATAATTAACTAGACACCTGTGCACAGCTGTTAAAGTAACCGTCTAGTTACCTTTTTAAGTTAAAAAGCGCTTTTACCAAGTTTGAAAAAGCTACAATTTTAATATTTAAAACAGGTATTTAAAGTTTCAAGCACACATTTTTTAACCATTATTTAGATCACCTGACTGTCCATCCATTTCAGCAGCCACAATGCCTCCTGCAGCTCGCTTGCCGAGTGAGGGGCCGTCTGGGCGGCTCCCAAGCTGTAGAGCGGGGCAGACCGAGCGTTGCTTCTTCTCACCTTCCTTTTATCCAGTCTTTCCTATATTAACAAATGAGGGGAAAGCAAAGGTTTTTTTAAAAATTGTTCTGAATACCTCAGTGCTTCAAGTTTATCACCCTAGACGCAAGAGAATTTTAATTTATTGTAGTTGAGAACAGATTTGAAAAAAAATGTATAAAACCATCATTGCACTGTGACTGGTAGGGAAAAACTGACAATTTCCAATTTGCACATGTCTAATGTTTGGCGGTTATATATATGGTCCTTCTGCTGGGGAGGAGACTTATGAAGGATATTTTTAATTTAATTTTTTTAATATGGGTCAAATAGGCCGGCAACAGCAACTCGAAGTACAACACAGTAGGTGATATTACAAGCATAACTATAGTGTGGATATATTCTTTTTTTTAAACATTAATATTGACAAGTTTTATTAATATTTTTTTAAATTGTTACGTTTATAAATTTGGTACTCTAGGTACAGCCAGAATAAGACACTGAATGCGACATTTGTTAAGAGAAAAAAAAAGCTGCTGCACTCCTATTTTTGTAAAATTTTACTAACAAGTAGGCTAACGTAGACATTGAATAGACAAGTTAGAGCAAGGCATCTTCGAACACTCACCGAGACACCATAATTCTAACTGTAAAGAGGAGGGGAAAAATTCTCATTTTTCCTTGTTTTTAAATTAAACAACAAAAATAATAGGTTGACTTGTTGGGGTTTGTTTTTGTTTTTTGTTTTGGTTGTTGTTTTTGAGGGGGAGGGGGTTGTTGTATAATGCTTCAGGGGTTTTTTTTAAATAAAATCTTCTTTCGAAAACAACCAGGTTTAAAAGCCAGAATGCTGGACACTTTTTAAAATTATTGAGACTTGATCAAGTAGTACACTAAAAAGAATAATGATAATAATAATTAATAATAATAATAAACATAATTAATCGCAAACCAAATTCCCTGAGAGTCGAGTGTGTTTTTACAAACTAAGGAAGTCAGGGAATGCTTCTTTTTATTCCTCTTTAATCGATGTAGATGACATCGGAGCACAACAAGTCAGGAGCTACTTCCAGGAAAGCTCCTTTCGGAGGACAGCGAGGTGCCCCCACCCCTCCCAGGGCGAGGCGCTCAGCACTGCTCCCAAGCGGTTCGGCAGAGCTTTCCCGGAAGGGGTCCGTGCCTGTGCCATGTACTCCCCTCCTCATCGTTCAGTCCCTGTCACCTCACAGAAGATTCTTTGCTGATCATTGTTATATGTTAATAATGTATAAAATGACTATCTTGTAAGAGTGCTGTCCTGATGCTTAGTGTAGTGATTTCCCAAGCCACCATCCCTTTCTCTTTTCTTCTCTTTCTTCCTCTTCTAGGACATATTGGTAGTTGTATTGTAATTAAGGTTAAATACATAGATGTAGCTACTCAGATTTAGGACCAGTAAGGATAGAACTTTCTCTTATTTAAGACAAAAAGAAATGCTAATAAGTTTTGGGCAGGTGTTTTTTTTTAATTTAAATTTAAATTGTGTTTGTTTCTCTTTCTGCTGATCTTCATGTGGTTTCAACTAACCAAAGGTCTCACAACATTAAAAGAAAAAAAATGCTGGCAAAACTCCTGCTGCATTATATAGATCCCCCCACCCTTCTACTTTGATGAAGAGGGTGTGCCATACTACCTTAAATGCTAATGCTAGATATGCAAAACTGGATTTTTTTAATTTATTTTTTAAAATAAAAAGAGGGAGGCATGGTATAATAAAATGATTTTACTAAGAGAAAAATATTTTTTTAAAAAAAAGAATGCTCAGAAGAAAAACTGATAACCTGTGTGAATATGTTTTAGATGTTTCTAACCCTTTTGAAAAGCCCCAATGGCCCTGAACACATCTCGTGTGGAATCTGCTATGTTTTCTGAGTGGCTTCCTAGGCTAATGTTCATTCTAGTCCCTTCACTCATCTAGAAGTCCATTCGAAAGGATTTGGGGTTTTTTCTTTTATTTTTTTTATTTTTTTTTTTTTTGTTTGTTTTTTTTCTAACATTCTATTTTCTGGTTTTTTTTTTTTTTTTTTTTTTTTTGGAAATTAGTTTTAACACAGAAGGTTCAGCTGAAACTTTATTTTAGTCAAAGAGAGCAGGCAAAAAGCTTCACCCCAGCATCTTGCCATTTGGTTCCAAACATCCCCTTGCAAAATGTTGTGATCGAATTGTGCAGACCAGGAGTGAAAAGGAGAGCAGGAGATCTGCCATAAAGAGAATCGAAAAATGTTGTTTGTGCCTCAAGTAACTTATTTGTTATCAAACCATCTTGTGAAATCCAGATGCCAAGGAAAGTCAGCAAGAGATTCTTGGCTGGTTTCCATGGCACTGGATGGCAGATGACCTAAATGTCTAGGAAGACCTTTCTCCTGAAATCCTGGCACACTCTTCTTTTTCTTCTTTTGCTACTGACTTGAACAGAGGGCCAGAATTTTACTCACAGGAGACTGGAGTTTTTAAAATTTACCTTGCTTGTTTCTCCTCCCACCAAAGGGGAAAAAAACAGAACTCACACCATCGAATCTTAAGTTGAAATTGACTTGATTAAAATGAAGAGCAACCTGTCCCTTTTGGTTTCCTATTCTGCCTAATGTTCATTTTAATTTGACTTTGTAGCTTGGACTTTAAGGTAGCATGGCTCTGTTACAGTAATTTTTTTCCCCTTGTACAGCAGTATATACACAAGCTGATGAATGTTACACATCTTGCTAGACTAGTTGAGTCCTTGGGTAACTGTTGGTAAATAATAATGACCTGAAAGGTGTACAGACTTTTATTTTCTCTTCTTTTCCACTTGAACTATTAACCCTGTACGGCTCTTTTGAGCTTGAGTGTGAATGAGGGCTAGGGACTCCAGCCACCCAAACCATCAAGTTTCATTTGCCATCAAATTCAATGCAACTTGCAAGGCAAAAGCAATATAGTTTTCCTACATGTTTTCTCAAAGGTCAGCCATGGTTATGTAATATATTTATTGCGTATAAAATTGTTTACAAAACAAAAACAAAACACTACTTATTTTTTTACTATTTGGGTATATTTGTTTCGAAAGGTTTCCTTTTTTGTTTGCCTTTGGGTTTCTTTCCGAAAAGCAAAACAGTTGGAAAAGCAAACGAAAGCTGGTCTAACTATGTTTTGAGTGACAGGGGGCCTTAGACACACTGGCAGATTCCCCAAAAATCTGCATCAATACACTGTAGAATTTCATAAAGTGCGCAGAATCCCATTCCAATCCATTTCTCGCTGTGTAAGCACTACATGAGATTCTGCGAGCTAAGCAATACTTTAATACTGTAATAAAATTTTACCAAAAATGATGAGTTCAAAATCAAAGTTATCTGTTCACCAGTTACCAAACAATCAGAATGTACTGTCTCAACAGACTTTTGTTTCAGACAAAAAGCAAACAACTAGAAGTCACCCGTGCGATATAACCTGTGTTCTGTACATAACGCCAATATCACCATGTGTGGGATGCGACTGTCATTTTGAATTCTAGTGATAGCAAATAATCTCACCATATCTGTTGTACACGTTTTGAATTCCATCAGTAATCCAATGCAAAGTCTCAGCATTTTCAGGTGGATCTAAATGTACTTAATCAGCAATGACACAGTGGCCAGGCCTAGCCCCTCCCTTTTCTATTTTAGTATGAACTGATGCGAACTTTGGTAGTGACTTTTTATATACATATATAAATATATATATACATACATATATATATATACGTGTATCTATATATATCAAGCATCTTTCAGGTCTCTGTGTATGGCTTTCCGAAGCCCTGTTGTAAAATACTACATGGATGGGGGTCTCTCACATCACAGATGTGGAAAGTATAATTTTATATTTGTATTTTCAAATAAATAAGTTTGTGAAAGGTTTCCATCCTCTACTGTGGTCCAGAAAATCAATGTGTTTGTCTCAGAAAAAAAATAAAAATCTGTTTTGAACAGCGTTGTGTGATATGTCATTTCCATCGATCGCTCGCTACTTAATGTCTGTTTTTCCTCTCCCATTCCTGCATTCATCTCAAAAGGTACCCATATGTTCCTTTTAGTCAATCATAATTTCTTAATTACCCTGTTACAGCAGACAAGGTGTTCTATGTTTTTCCACATCTGCTGGGGAGGAGACGTGAACCTACCTTGCATGAAGGTTCTTTTCTTGATTACAAGATATTATCCTACACATCACGAAGGCAAAGTCCAAGAAGGCACCCAACACTCAGAAAGAAGTAGATCCACAGATCACCTTCCACCTCAGGTGATTCTCTGTAAAAACCAAAGTATTATAACCTTAATTCAGCCGCGTCCAGTGGCTAGAAACAAATCTTGGTGATTGGTTCCCCACTTGGCCCTATGCTGTTTGCAAAGAAAGGGGCCTACGTGACTCAGACATACCCATCTTGTTTGGTCAGGGCATTACGTATTTTAAAAGAACAAACAAAAATAAGATTACTGGCTATAATTTTAAAACCAAAGAGAGAATAGGTTCTGGTGTAACATTGTACAAATGCACTGAACCTGGCTACCATCTTTTTGGGTAAGGGATGCTAGAGCTACCTAGAGCACATGAAGCCCGTACTCCTCAACCCATGGTCCTTGAAAAAGACCCGCGTGAACTTGGTGGGTGCAGGACAGCAACTGAGAGAGCCAAGTGACAGCCTGCACATCTGTGAAGTTCTAGCTATGAAGCGCAATCTACCCAACGTGGACACATGCAGCCCTGGGTTATGCACTTCTGTACTTAGGAACAAACTGCCATAAAGCCTGTGAATGTCAACCTTCAAGTCCAAGACAGGTTGTGCTAGTGACATGGGAACGTTTGGCATTTTGCAGCCTACTGCACAAAATCATCCTCACCGGGGGGGGGGGGGGGGGCAAAAGGGGAGAGGTGGAGACGTGCCGAAGCATACCTTCTTGCCCCGCTCGTCCGGAGAGCAAAATCCCTCTGGCCATTCCTTGGTACAGCGGGGAGGCACTGTTGAGAGAAAGAGAGTGCAGGGAATAAGAACACAAGAATGTGATAAAGGAACAAGCGGCGCTCTGCTGTGTCAGACCAAGGTCTGAGCGTGGGAGGGCGAAGCCATCCAAGAAACCTATAGTCAGTGGGAAGGTTTGGGGAGGGGGGGGTCATATTTTTTTCGCAGGGGCCCTGTGCTCCTAACTCCCACAAATGTGTAGGGCTGCCTCTATATGGATGTGTTTCTTAGAAAGGAGCCTGGAAAGGTAAAATATATACATCTACTAAGTCAAACATTTAGCTTACTTGTGCTAAAGATGGCCCATACACAGGCGGTCCAACTTCTACTTAAAGACATTCTCAGCAACAAAATTTGCTTGTAATCCAGGGACAGCCTGTATTCCTTTGCCAGAAGAAACCCCAAAAGCTGCACAATCCTGTGAACTGGTTCATGTGACACAACAGCCTATTGTGAATAAGTATCCCAGTGGGGTACCATGCTGTCTGACCAAAACTGCTTCTAAATCCTGTGGCTTGCCCCCCCCCCCCCCCCGACTTGGGTTGTTCAACCCCGGATAGGTTGACTTGCTGTCCAAGCTCAGGCAACCAAGCACAGCCTGGGCTGAGGGACATTCTACTCCAATTAAAAAATCATCGTCATCCTGCCTTCTCCTTCACAGTTAATTAATGAAATGGGAGCCTATGGGAATAGGGTGGCATATAAATATTAGGGTTTGTTTTTTTTTTAAATGGGGAGAGTGCTATCAGTCCTACCCCTCAGATGACTTGGAACTTGATACTTGAAAAATAAGCGGCTAAATCCTGGTCTCAGCTTAAGATGGTGACTTGTGCAGAATCCGTGTAGGAAGAAAGGCCGGGGGGCATGGAGGGAGCCACAAAATGATCTCTTCCCTCCAAGGGCACCTCTGTTACTGAAAAAGAGACCTCAGCGCTCCGGCTGCTTAACAAGAGAAGATGGACGCCAAGTTTCTGCGGCTGAAGGTCAGCACCCTGCAGGCTGTGGGATCGCCTGGTCTCTGGAAAGCAGTCAACCCATCAAAGCCTTAATGGGCCTGATGATGAGTGAGGTACCCAGGGAAAAATTAGATTAGAAAAACAAATGAAAACCATTTAGGAAGTGGGACTCACTCGCAGTGGAGGGCTGCTGCTGTATCCAGGCCGGCCGGCAATGATTTGACTTCTATCCAGGAGAAAAAGGAGCGCAGGTCTGGAATGCATTAGTGTGGTGGGAGGCCGGGAATAACACCCACTTAACCCTGTCATTCAGCAAACATTAGTGAATTATGAGTGTGTTACATGTTGGGTTGTGCATTTGCAAAATGCTGAACGGCCTCTTATATCTCAGCTAAAAATATGCCCGTGAGCCTTTGGTGTCGACAAATGGATTTTTTTATCACTGCCCCCACAAAAAAATCATAATAATCAAAATAAGATCCCTAGTCACCTCTTGGCTTCTTACAAAATCAAATCAGAAGCAAACGGCAGGGGTTTAAAAGAAGTCCCCAAAATCTTTTTCCTGATGAATTACTACCCTTGAAAAAGAAAACCGGTCTTAGAAATGCAATTTATAACATTTCCCTTATGCCATAAACATCTATGGTGAATCATAACAGGTCTGAAACATTCTTCAGACAGCACCGGCTGCACAACTTGAACTGCGGATTGGCTAGAGTAGATATAAGAAGTGCTTGAAGTTGCTTTTGGGTAATAGGTGGCATGGCTTATTCATATATATATTTTTTTTAACAACGCACGCACCAAAATTTTTCTAAGAGTACACCTGACTGTGCCAAATGCAGACAAGAGAGCAAACTGGCAGTGTGTCTCTGAAGAGTTCTGTGTAACTCAAAAGCTTGTTCCCTACGGCTTTTTGTTCAGGCTGGACTACTGCATGAGGGCTTGCCAGCACTGCGATCTGCGTGAGTGTATTTTAAATAGGGTGCACACAACACATTTTGAAATGGAGCCCAACACAGAATTAAGAATTTGCCCTGCTGAGAAGCTTGGCTTTTCATTTCACAATCCAATGGGCACAATCTAGCCAAAGCTAAGCACTTGGAATCCACAAGTATCTATGAGCGAGTTAAGCAAGTTCTTCTATCTCTTCATCTGAAGTCCATGACGCTTTAAAAAAAAGTTTTCTAAACCCCTTTATAAATTAAAGTCCATGAGATTTCAAAGTGCACAGCACTGACTGGATTGGAGGCAGTGTGGGTTTTTTGTTTTGTGTTTAATTCAGTGGTGTGCCACAGATATCACCCCCTGTGTTTAATACACTGGTTTCCCCTCTCCATCAATGTCTCTACTACGTTTTACAAGTCTGGGCTTGGGAGAGCCATGCCTCTGTCACACCTACTATCTGCTCCATGGGAAAAGGACAGCAAGTTTCACTGAAATCTCAGAGCAGTCCTTACCCATGGGAAAGCAAGGTGGGGAGAGGTGGGGGAGGGAGAGCATGCTAAGCTTCTAGTCCAGTATGTCCACTCTGACTGGGACTGGAATGTCAAGGTCTCAACCCATCTCCTGCTCCCTGGGGTCGCTTAATTGACAGCTGGTCCTAGTGCTTTCTGTGTGCAAAGCATCTAGTTTACCTTCTGCTTTTGTTCCCCGTGTTCATTTGCCATTCCATGCTCCTTTGTCTCATATGGGTCCCCTAAATTTCAGTCCTCCCTGCTCCCTGACAAAAAAGATGAACCGTGCAAGCTGAAATACACAATTTGTATAAATACAAGAATGTTTAAATCCAGCCCAATATTTACTTTCAGCATCAGAGTTTTGGTTCTCTTAGGACACAATCCTACGCAGAAAAAAAAAGGGACGGTGAGAGCTGTAGGCCTCTTTCCTGCTTAAGCATGCAAAGGACTTTACCTTTAGTTGCAGAATCTCAAGAGAACAGGAATCCTACATGACCTGACCTATTTATTATTATTTGTACTAGCAATTATTTTGACTGTTTTTACAGCCTTTACTGAAAAACCACCAAGGCCTTTAGAACAGCAGCATAAAAACAAATAGTAAACCCTTAAGCTCATTAAAGCAACACCACAACTGAAAACGAAGTTTAAAGTTAAAGGGAGGTGGTCTGACATCTTTTCTAAAACCAGAGAGAGGAGGAGGAGGAGGGCTGCTTTCCACAATTTGGGTGGGAGCGACAGTTGCAGAGTCTGGTTACCCATGGATCCCCATTGCTGGGGAACATGGATGAGAAGATGCTGTTGCATGTCTGTCCTGCTGGACAGTTTTCTACGGGCAACTGGTCGGCCACCGTATGAACCAAATGCCAGACAAGATGGGCCCTTGATCCTGCAGGGCTCGGATGCTCTTAGGACACATGAGAATGCCTTCTCACACAGGGCATGCAAGGAGCAGGGCACACATTCAAAAGGTCACCATAGAATAGGCAGTCCCACAAACTGCCGGCTCCTACGTCTTTTAGGACTTTAAAACCAACAGCCTAAACTGAGCCCAGCAAACGACACACAACCAGTTCTTTCAAGATCAGAAAAATGTGAGCTTGATACCTGTTAGAAGCCCAGTTTTTGCTTTTTGCAGCAGCAGCTTTTCCCAGATGCTCCTCAAGGACAGCAGCACAGAGAAGTAATGGCAGTGGCCTTAAAGCAAGGCACAGGTGGTTATTGCAGTGAAATCAGGCTGACTCAGAGAAAGGTCACAAATGAAGCACTAAGCATTTGTGAGTACTTTTGTTTGCATGCTTCAGTTTTTAAGAGCAGGCAGGACTGAAATATAGGTGTGCCACATGGGACAAGGAGCATGCAAATACGAAGTGGAGCAGGAGAACAAAAGAAAGAAGCAGAGAGGGTCTTAATCTAGGCTCTTTTGTTGTCTTTAGCATCCCTCGCTAGCCTCCGCTCATTCCCAGCTTTCGCTTTCCTGCAATTCTGTGCTACCTGCCTGTATTCTTCCTGTGAAGCCTGGCCTTCCTTCCACTTCCTACACTTGCCCTGTCCTGT